TAGTAGAGAATGCTTTTAATAAAGAAATTAACGCAAATGAAGAAGAATCAGAAACAAGAAGTGTATACGTGCGAAATTGGTAACTATTAATTAAATATTTATCTACAAAATACTTTTTTTTGAATTTTAGGTTTATTAATGCATGTTACATTGTTCCTAAAAAATCTGTTCGATATTGTGAAAATGTTGAATTAAACTTTGAATCCAGAAAAATACATTACACAGAATGTTTTAAAGTAACGGTAGGTCACTAGTCTTTTTATGAATATTAACATAATAATTATTTGCTTTTTTATTAAAAACCACAACGGCAAGTATTTTGAAAATAAATCAAAAATATTTTTGTTGTAGAATAAACTTGTTCCGCAAAGATGGGTTGAAACAGCTATTTTAAAAATAAATTTAAGATAAGAACGTGATTTTTAAAAGAGTCTACTATGTAAGGATAATATAAATTTCAAAATTTTACGTTAATGTTTTATAATTAATTTAATCACGTGCTACTAGATAATGTTTTAATTCTTTTATTGTTAATGAATGTGTTAAATTGTAAAGATTTATACATAATACTTTGTTAAATTTCACACGTATAATCAATTAATAATATAAAAAGATGACATTGATGTTCATTTTATACTGAACAGTGAATATAAAAATTCTCATTCTTATTTTTTGAACCTGTAGTTATAGATTTAGTGTACTTCCTACGTCAAGAAGCTTTAAAAGAGAGTCCCTTGCTCGAAACTAAAGTTTTCATTGTGATTAAGACTGGTCCTGAAGCTAAAATAACGGTAGCGCTATATGACATTTTATTTTCATAAACATCTTCCTAACTCTTTATTTAAAGTAAATAAAAAAGCAGAATAGTTTCAAAACCTTTTTTGACAATAACTCTACTATTGTTTCACCACGCTACAGTCGTTTAGGCGATTTTCGTTTCATTTTCACCCGTTAATGTCTCTCCCCAATGACCACCACTCTTTCTCGTGATTCTCAAAAAAAGGTTGTTCTAACATTTGGTTTTAAATTAACGTCTAAAATGCGCCGAAATTGTAGCTCTTGTATTGGTACAACAAGATCCCTAAGGTAGACATTATATGTTTAACCGTTTTTGCCGTCATTCCTACGTTTCCGAAAACGGAAGCCGTCATGCCTTACAGCATTGCAATAGAGTTTAAGTTGGAGGTCGAACTTTAATACCTAGTCCAGTCAATAATCATTTTCCCTCATAACTTTTTCAAGCAGCACCGATTTGAATAATAATTTGGATTTAGGTTCTATTTACCCTCTATCTTAAAGTTGACCTTGTACCGGGGTTGCTTTTGCCCTGGGGTGGATGCCACCCCTTCTCGGAGATAAAAAAAAATGTTTCATTGAAAATAAGTATGTAAATGGATATATTGACTAATTCTAAGCAACTTTTGTTCTACAAAGTTTTTACTGAAAGACAATACTTTTCGACTTATTCGCGAGTAGAAAACAAAAATTAAAAAAAAACGTTTTTAGACGGTTTTTCAAGATTAACTTTCAAAGTATTTTATAAAAAAAATCATTAATAAAAATATAACTCATAAAAAGCAAAAAAAATGCTGTAAAAGTATCAGCAGACCCAATACAAACGGAGTAACAGTTGGTTCTTATTCGTCAGACGCCAAAATAGAAAGTTTCAACGTGAAGTAACCAAGAAACATTGCTTTTTTTTGGGGAAAACTCATAGAACTTTTTTTGAAGTGCTTAAAAAATCTTTATTATTTTCGTGTTTGATAAGCATCAAAATTAAGCGAATTATCACCAATATAAAGTTGGTCCCTATTTTTTTGTCAGCAAAAAACTGTAAAAAACACCCTTTAATTAGCACCCCAATTATAAATAATCGTTTTTGTTTTTCTATTCTGTACAATAAAAATTGAGTAAAGTTACATCCGGCGACCTTTGCCACTACCTATGGATCACACCACCGGCCATGACACTTCTAATTAGTATATAAGCTCATATATTTAAACATCATTAAACACACTCTGCGCTCGACCTTCGTTATACGTATGTCACGTACTTTACACCGATATCTATCACTGAAACGACCAGAACCTTTTCCACAGCAAACCGGGCGTTCAACACAACTGTCCGTGACTGGACAAATTTATTATTCAAGGCCAACGATATATTCTGCCTAGCCGTAATAGGTAAGAGTTTTTATTCCACTCTTAACTAATCAACAGTTCTTTGGGACGGAGTACGCAGTGTCCCTTTGAACTTCAACGTACCACAACTAATTTAAAGAAACCTTTTTATCTAATTTAAATACATTTTCCTCATTCTTAAACCTTTTTTCCTGATTCTGCAAAGTCACAGTTCTACCTAGCTGGCCATTTTCAGCATGGCTACCCCCAAGAGCTCCGCACTCTTGGAGGGATTTTCCCTTGCGGACGCCATTGCCCTAGCGAGTGAACTTCAGGTCAAACTCGCCAAAGTAAACAAATTTATTACCCGCCACCAGTGGCAAAAACACCACAATCCCGCACATCGTGCCGAATTAAACACCATTCAGCGAGAACTCAAAACTCGCCTAACGGAATTCCGCAGCGCCTCGTTTGACGAATACATCGCTCAAGCAGAACTACACCCCAAAAGCACTTGGAAAGTGATCCGCTCTCTCCGTAACAGAGCTCCCCATCTCCCACCATTAAAACAAAATGGTTCTCTATACACTTCAGATGAGGAAAAAGCTGCAATCTTCGCAGATTCTCTCTGTCTCCAGTGCTCTCCACTACCCAGCCCGGTGGATTTAGCCAACTTTCACGAGCAAACCAAAGCCGGCTCTCAAAACTTCGTCCCTACTGTTTGCGACTTCAAGCACACGTCCCCACGTGAAATCTTCCTCACCATCCGATCTCTGAAAAAGAGAAAAGCCCCTGGCGCTTACGGTATTGCCAACGGAGTCCTCAAAGTCCTGCCACCAAAGCACATCACCGCACTGTGCAACATCACAAACGCTATCATGCGGCTCCACCACTTCCCTTTGGTTTGGAAACAAGCCACTGTCATCTGTCTCCCCAAAAAAGAGAAGCCGCTCAGCTCTCCCTCAAGCTTCAGGCCCATCAGCCTGCTCAGTTCGTTGAGCAAAGTAGTTGAATCCATCCTTCTCGATCGGCTCTCAGACCACGTGGAGCAAAACAACCTTCTCCCCGACTTCCAACACGGTTTTCGCAGGCAACACGGCACCGGTCATCAACTTCTTCGCGTAAGCGAACATATCTCCGACAATCTTAACAAGCGGCGTCACACTTTCATGCTACTTCTTGACGTCCAGCAGGCCTTCGAACGAGTCTGGCACGAAGGCCTTATCTCTAAACTCATCGCCCTTAACATCTCACACTTTCTAGTCGGGATAATCAGGTCCTTTCTCACACACAGAAGCCTACGAGTCTGCGTTGGCTCTGCTCTTTCTGCCGGTAAACACGTCACAGCCGGTGTCCCACAAGGCTCCAAACTTTCCCCTATTCTGTTTAACCTGTTCTGTGCGGACATGCCCTCCCATCCTTCCATTATGACTGCTCTGAACGCCGACGACATTGCCATCATAAACTCTTCCAGCGCCATTCTCCATTGCACAGCGAGAATCAATAGGTTTCTGCCCCAGCTCCTAAACTGCTATCGTAAATGGAGACTCTCCATTAATGAGACCAAATCGGAAGCAATCTTCTTTTCTCGTAGGTTCCGAAAACCTCCCTCCATCATCGTCAACAACCGCCCCATCAAATGGAGCACCTCTGTCACGTACCTAGGCGTCGTCTTCGATAGACGCCTAACCTGGCGGCACCACATTACGGCGACCCGTAACAAGGCTCTGGGTGCATTCGTCGCACTTAAACCTTTCTTCCGTAATAAGAACATCTCCCAACAGACCAAAATCCGTGCGTTTAACGCAATTATTAGGAGCATTTGTTCCTACGCCATCCCTATCTGGGGCTCCACCCTTCCCCGACGTCTTCAAATTCTACAAGGCACCTACATGCGGATTCTTCGTTCCGCACTCGACTACCCATGGTTCATCAGAAATTCACAAATTCTGAAAGAAACTGGTCTATCTTCTCTCCCCGAGGCTGCAACCAAATTCGCAGCAAATCTT